CGCGTTTCAGCCTTGTGTCAGTGTTTTTGCACTGTTTTAACGAGTCGCGTGTGTGACGACGTGAACCATGCGTCAGCGAGCAAGCGCTGCGAGGATGAATAATGTCCGCAGATAGGTAACCCATGTAACAAAGTGGCCGTCATCCAGAGCGCTGCTTCAAGAAGCTTGAAACGGAAGGCGGCCTAATTGTCGAAAAGTTCACTCACAATTTCGGGCACACAAACCACAACCGAAGCGCGTTGCCGCACGAATTTGGCTCAGGTTTGCGTACAACGTACGTACAGTACATCCCCGTGGGCGAAATTGCGGGAATCTGAGGCTCGGACAGTGTAGCCGAGGCTGGATTATTGACGTCACAACGCAGCACACTTGAGCGTGCGAAGCTGCCTGGACTGTGCTGACGACCACTGAGCGACCGAAATAATCGCTCAGTTCCGCGCCAAAATCCAGCAGTGATACGGTGGCAGGAGCAAACTTCACATCGCGCCAATGAAAATCGATCGATCCCAGTGGGGTCACCCCACATCAGCATTGAAGATGCACTCCGGCTGAGGACTAAGGAGTGACCATGAAATCGTCGCCCTTCAGCGTAAGTCGAAGTTATCCAGTGACACGCTGCCATAAGCAAGGTGCCATGCTGTACAGTATCCGCCACATCAGCAGATTTGAAGAATCCCCATTCTCCACGCAATTTTCCTTTCTGTAGTACACATACACTGCACAGTTCGCGTCTGGTAGGTGGCAGTTCAAAGCGACGAAGCGAAGTGATACACTTCTTATGAATGTGATTACTGTATATTGGACTCGAGGAGGAGGTAACCTACGCACATGTTCGCCTGCGGATTTCTCGCTTGGTTGCACAAAAAAACCCTGGTCCCTTGAGCGACATCTGAAGGTTGGAGAGATCTGAGGCATGCAACTGACTTGACCGCTCAAACTTGCACAATACCGTGCTGGACCGAACAGAAAGCATGCAGTTGCAGCACAGTTACGCGACACGATAGCAGCCAGCAGCCAGTGACAGATCAATCCCCTTTTTACGATTCACGACCACGCAAAGGCGCTTGCCGAATCGCTCGCCGGTGGTTACGCTTCTCCCGCATCGGCACTTTCGCTTTTTGTTCTTCCGCTGAATTTACTGGTTTCTTTCTGTTATTGTGTGACTATTATCGTAAAAGAACGTACCTGTCGCATTTAGCTATGGCGGCGGCTGCGGTGCTGCCAGCACCCACGCATTTCAAGCGGCTCGAGCCGTGGTGGCGGTAATGGAAGCGTGCCGCGACGCGCGCGTGCAGTTCGTCGCGAAATTCGGCGAACTCGCAGTTTCGCCTCAGGTGCGCCTTAGTCTCTGTCTCTTTCTCCATCTAATCTCAGCTTCTCTCGGATCCAAGCTTCGCGCTGCGAATTCATGGCGAGTTTATGGGTTCCAATCGCATTTCCCGCCTCCGAATCCGCGCGGTACCTCGCGCCATCGGGAGCAGCTGAGCAAGGCGCGCCTCCACCTGGCGCGCCACTGGGGGCACACGCTCGTGCTGCCATGCCACGTGTCCGCAGCAGCCGCATCGGCAGCAACAACCTGCCACGTGGCATGCTCTGCTCCCCGCGTGCGCGTTCTTTGACCCGGTGCTGATGGGGCGGTTCGTGCCGTGGGTGCGCGAGGAGTATCTCTGGCGGACAGTGGTGCCCGCTTGGGAGAGGCGCGGGGGCGCAAGCTCGGGGGAAGGGGAGGGGAGAGTCAACTCAAAGGACACCTGCCTTGTCAGTCCCCTCCCTCCCCGCTCACATCGTCCCATGCTCCTCTTCCCTCCTCGCTTCATCACATTTCATCTGCCCCTCGCGCCATCCCATGCCAGTCTCCCCTTGCCTTTCCTCATCACCTTTCCCCCTCATATCGCTCTGCGGCGTACCGACACCCCACAGTACCCCGCACCACCCCTCCATCTCTCCAGTCTCTCTGCACATTCTCTTCTCACGCCTCTCTCTGATCCGTTCCCTTCCCAAGCTCGTTCAAGCCATGCCAGGAGCCTTTTCCCTGAGACTAGATGTGTGGGGGGGTGGTGCTTGATGCTGGTGATTGTGACTCGGTGGGTGCTGTCCTATTGTCTCAGATGTGTGTGTGTGTGTGTGAGGTGTGTGTATGCATGGGGTGCTGCATGAATGCTCTTCTGCATGCATGGTGTATTGTTGCTGTGTGCAGCTCTGAGCAGAATAACGGTCATCACTGGTAGAGGCAAGCGCAGCTTCTGGGCAAGCCAAATTCAAACCTGCGGTAAGGTCGGGGGAAAAAGGGGAAGGGGAAGGGACGGAGGGGGAGGCGGAGAGTGGGAGGGGTTCACTGCACCAAATCATCCCCGGTCTTACTTTCTTTTATGCTTTGGGAAGGGATGGGTAGAGTTCTGGCCGTGAGGCTCTTGCTTTGGGTTACTTTCAAGCACATGTGATATCTCTGATGTGACAGCGTACAATGCACATACGGTAGAGCTATGCTGCACGTGCGTACAACGCACATGATGCTCTCAATCTGAAAAACTCACCTCACCATCCCACTTGAAAAAGCCACTGTGCGTATCTACCAGGTGCACCGGTACTTGCAGGAGAGAGGAGTGGGGTGGCAAGTGCAGAACGCAGGCAGCATCCAAATCACTCGTTACAATCTACCTCCATCCAGATCCTGTCCGTAGATGACCACTTGAGTCCATGCACGGCTGTGTGGCAGTTCTTGAGATGCCTCATAACAGGCAGCATCACAACCTACCTCCCGATCCAATTCCGTAGACGGTCACTTAGTCAGTCCATCCAGATTCCACACCAGCCCATGCTCATTCTGACAGGAGAGAGTCGAGTCAATCGGATCAAAAGCATCCACATTACCCACTACAGCTTTGCCTCAAGGTTCATTTCCTAGATGACCACCTCAGCAGGTCATGCACACTGCATCGTGGTTGATTCTGGATGGAGGGTAGATAGATACCATGCTGGCCCAATAGGAAGCAAGCCCAGGAGCCGAGCCAGAGACAGCCGGGCAAGGCCATGACTAGCTTTGGATGCGATATGAGTGCGCAACGTACGGCAGAGCGCACACGTTCGTGTTCGAAACGTGTTCAACATGCCCCCACTAACGAAACATTAAACATGACGTCAATGCAGCGGGCCTACGTTGGCTGCAGCATGCGACAGGAGGCAAGCAGGGAGGAGCAAGCGATGCCATGGCGAGTGATGGAGTAGCCCATCAGGCATCAAAGCATTCTTGATGAAGGAAAGGCCTGTGTGCTAGCTAGGTAGGAATTCTGAGTCGGAGATGAGGCAGACGTAGCGGGAATCAAGGAGTCCATGTTGGAAGTATTTTTCTGTTATTTTTTTTTCTAAGCATCACCCATTATACAATGCCTTCCCTACATTATGAGAACCCATTTCAAATATGTTTTCTTTTGTGTCGTGGGAAGTTATACGCTGCTCAGCTCATAACGAGAATTTTATTTGCCACCCTGTGTTAGGCTCCAGGTTTCACCTGCGTGAGTTGCGGTGGTGTGTGCTGCGAATTATCTTGCCTGGAATCTTGTCTGGGTTGGGGCTCTTTTCGGAGCTTTTCCAGTCACTTCAGGTAGCCTACCAGGTCGACGAGCATCACTAGGATAAGTATTATTTAGTAGGGTGCAAACCCGTTTTTACGGTGGCCTTGGTTTTTCCCCACCAGTTCCCATACTTGTACAAAGCGCCTTTATGGTCACAATATCGTCAGTAATATTTTTCAGGACCATTTGTGCTGCCCGAACTGTCAAGCAAACGGCACTGAAGAGGCGGGAGTTTGAACTGCGGAAAGGACGTGGTGCGGAATGCCTCTGCACGCCGGGTTTAAAATCTTTAACCGCTCCGAAACACTTTCTACCGAATTTACCACGGCTGTGGGGGCGTGCCGGTTTGTGCCGGGGCGTGCCAGTGGGTGCACCAAATCCGTGGTGATTCGTGGTACAAAACGTTTTTGAACGGCGAAGCTTCGAAACCCGGTGCACCGGGGCGTGCCAAGGCGTTCAGCACCATGTGCTGATTGATCACCCTCGGGATCGTATTTTGACGAGGTTTGTAGGTTCTGAGCTCTGTAAGGTGTTAACCGTACTTATAGTGCGGTGGAAGATCGATATTTTTTGCCATCCCGCTCCGCAATATTTCCCCTGGCTGGCGGAGGGTTTGACTGGCGCACCCCACACCCTCCTCGCCTGCCCTCGATTCTCCTGCCTGTTCTTGCTTCTCCCCCGATCTCATCGCGTTCCGTAACACTGTTTCGCCTCGCCGCCGTTCGTCATTTCCTATGTGCGCCGGCCGACTGTCACCTGACTGTCGCTCACTTCACTCACACAGATTTGTGTGTAATTCCAATCCACTCCCCAGCCACTGACAGATTTCCCTCCCTTACAATAAGTCTGTCAAGCGCTTGACAGGCACTCCCTTCAGTATGCTGGATAGCACCTGATGCGGCTACTAGTTCCGTGACATTGTCTTCGCAATCTTTTTCGTACCACTCGCATCGCGTCACCTTTTCTAATACTGGCTCGCTACGTAGTTTGTTGTACTGATGCTCTAGAGGCCAGGAGTCATCACCTTACCTCTCATTGTGCATATCCTCATCCTCAGCTCAACTCGAGATTTTTTTTGCCGGTCTGAGAACCTGGAATGGCTCCATCGCATTCGCTAGAAGCTACTAATGACGGATGGCTGGATTGTATGATAACGGAAATACCGGCAGCGCATAGCAGTCATGATGACCATGCGTCCTACGGAGCAGCTTCAGCATCTGACCGACACCACGAAGACGAGGTTAGCACATATTCTTTTTAAGATCGTCATTTGACAGGTTATCTACCACGTTTTATTCGTCAAGGTGGCAAAGTTTCCACTTTTAAAACAGACTCCTTCTTTTCATATGGAACCATCCCCGGTTTTTCTCCGTCTCAGAACTTCTGGATTGTGTTATCCAATTGGTTGATTCTTTTAACCCTCTTCAGGTCGTTTCGATTAAGACGGTCTCGTGCTGGCATCGCTACCTGTTGGGGGATCTCATCTTTGTCGTCCTCTCCGTGCTATCTATCGGCATCATTCCGCTGCTAGCCAGCTGGTTCCCTGCTTTTTACGTCACCCTGCGATTCAAGCGGTACGACGAGACTGTCGCACCGTTACGAATCCCTTCTGTTCGCTGACGCCTTCCGCTGCAGGTTCCTCTATATTCGTTTTCCACGTCGTTATGCGTGGTCTTCGTTTCACGCCGTTGCCTCTATATTCGTTTTCCGCCGCTATATTCAAACCTGAATCCCCCTGGAACCGGTTCCCCCAGTGTCCCTTCAGTCATCTCTATTCTCGTTATCCTGGTTCGACCCGGCAACAATGGCTCTAGTAGCGTTAATCACTAGTGTCTAAAACACGTTGATCGTCCGTCTGTTTGATCGACCTTCTAGTTTGGTCTTCCTCCCCAACCAGCGTCCCCCTGGACGCGATCAATGCGGGTGCATAGTCTCGATGTTATTGGAAAATGAAATAGTTGATCAATATCAAACCGATTCGTTGTTGTAGTCATTATTCCGCGCAGTCTTCCTCCTGGCTGATTTCGCGCGAGTCGAATAAACAGTCTCTTTCTTCGTCATCTCTCTGCACTCTTCCTTACCCCGAAAACCGATCCGTCCGGTGACGTCAACACGGACTACGTGTTGGCAGAAATTCTAGGCAGTATCCTGACGTCCGCCTCTATCCCCTTCTCGTTTCCTCATTTCCCCTACCAGCGTTCCTCCCGGCGACGTCAACACGAACTACGTGCTGGTGGAGAGTCTCAACGGTATCCTGGCAATCGCCTCTCTATTCTCTCTTCTCCTTTCCCATATCCCCTACCAGCGTTCGTCCCGGCGACGTCAACACGGACTACGTGCTGGTGGAGAGTCCCGACGGTATCCTGACAGCGGTGACGTTTGAGTCGACTCAAAAAGGCGGCCTCTCTATTCCCTTTTCGTCTCCTCACCTCACTCCCTCCACCAGCGTCCCCCCCGGCGACGTCAACACGGACTACGTGCTGGTGGAGAGTCTCGACGGTATCCTGACAGTCGCGCCACTCGAGTCCGTCGACCCCTGGGCTCCATCCCGTGGCTGGGTGGACGTTGCGACGGCGCGCTCCTGCACCAGACGTCCGGTAGGCAGGGTATGCAGGTCCGGGGAAAGGTTGCGGGTCTACTTTTGAGACGTCTCAAAAGACGACTTTTATTGAACTGCTGGTTCGAGGTGCGGGGAGAGGGTTGCGGATCTTCCTATTGGTTGCTAGGCAGGAACGGATGTATGCTGATCATCGTCGACGTTCATGTATGAACTCCATCTCCCCAGTGCGCATATGCTCCCTCCAGGTCCCCCTTACACGCCGTCTCGTGGTCATCACAATCAGCAATTTTCCTCAACTCCGTTTTCGTCCAATACCCTTGCCCATTCCCCACCCCCCTACCCCCCACTCCTGCACCACACATCCCCCCCCGCTTTCTCCACAGGGTTGCGAGATCAGCTTCGCCGCCCTTCCTCGAACCTTCCTGTGGCGCAGCGAGCGGTTCTGGTTCGATCTGGCCGCCGCCGCGCGTCTGTTCGACGGCACGCCCAAGTCCGCCACGCGCGCAGCGGAGCTCAGCAGCACGCCGCTGGTGTGGAAGCGGCATCGCTTCCAGCTCGCCTCCACCGCCGCTGCGCTCCACAAGTATGGCGCCTCTTGCGCCATGCAGGAGCCCCGGGGAGCGAGTCACCCTGGAGGTGCGCGCGCGGAGGGGTGCGGGGTGGGGGAAAATGGGAAACTGGGGGACGGGAGAGGGGGAGGGATGAGTGGAGGAGGTTTGGAGGAGGGAAGGGGTTGGGCAAGGAGGGCGAATTGGGAGGGAAGATGGGATGGGGGAGGTCAAGGTCTGGCCAGAGGTGGATTATTCTTATTCACGAGTCCAGGCGCTCTCTTCCTTTGCTTTCTTTCTCTGCTCTTCCCTTACTCCACCAAACTCCTACTCTTTTCCAAAATCGTCACGTGTAAACCTCTTCCCATCACTCACCGCTCACACCTCTCTTCCCGTCTTTCTACCACATTCTTCTTTCGTTATCTCTTCCTTCCCATATTCACCTTTTCCATTTCAATATACTCATGGCCTGTTTATATTCCTTCATTTCCGCTTGGCACCATGTCATGCCATGTTATTCCATCCATCCCATGCCATGTGGCGTGGCAGACGTGAGTGACTGGGAGCGTCGGCTCCTCACCCACGGCGAGAACATCCTGCATGTGCATGCGCCCAGCTTCTGGTGCGTGTGGTGTTCTGTGTGCAAAGCGCCGTGTCATGCATGCTGCGAGATGCGTGCCATGTAATTTGAGTGCGCTGTGAGGCGGACAATGCTGAGGGGTTCCGTGCGTGTGGGAAGGTGATTCGCCCGTAGCTCCACCAACCCATCTCCGTCCTCAACAAAACCTCTATCCCCTTCCGCGTTAGGTTTTTCTCGCAACTTACGACTACCGAATCAGCACCCCGCCCCCCACACTCTTCCCCACCTCCCCTCTTACCACTCACGCCGTGCCTGGGCCCCTTTCCCTTGACATCTCTCTCATTCAGCCTTCATCACCTGTGTCTGCATCTTCACGCACACCCCTCACACCCCCCTCCCTGCTCCTGCTCATCCTCGCAGGGTGCTGCTGTTAGGGGAGGTGCTGAAGCCGTTCTTTGTCTTCCAGGTGTTCAGTGTGATTGTGTGGTTCCTGATCAACTACTACCTCTACTCCTGCGTCATCATCTTCCTCACTACCTCCTCAGTCGTCTATGAAGCAGCCCAGACCCGCCGCAACAGGCTCGCCATCAAGTAAGCTGCCTCCCTCAGACCCTTCCTCATCTCCTCTCCTCTTCTCTTCCATCCCTTCCGTCATCCTCACTCCCACGTTTCGCCTTTTCCTCGCCCTCTCCATGCCACTGCGTCTCCTCCTGACCTCTTCTCCCCATTCCCCATCCCTCCTCCCATTACCCTTCCCTCATCATCCTTCGTCTCTCCCCACTGATGTCCCCCTTCTGCCCAGGCGGCTAGCTGAGACGGACTGCTCTGTGGTGCGCCTGACAGCCCGCCGTGATTCTGCCGACCCCTCTGTTCCGCCAAGGCTGCAGCCAGAGCAGGTTCTAGCCAGCGCGCTGCTGCCAGGAGACCTTGTGCAGGTGAGAGGCCGTAAGGGGGAGGGTGAGTGCGGCAGGCAGGGATGAGGGGAGAGAGCGGAGGCGAGGGGAAGGGCGGGGTTGTACTCGCGCAGAGAGTGTCAGCACGCATGTGCGATATGCACGCACGCGTTTTGCCACCAGAACCACCTCTCTCTCCGTGTCCCTTTCTCCATCATTCTTCCCTATAACACCCCCTTGTTGGCTGTCTCTCGCTCGCCGCCTTTCTGTTCCGATCCCAGGTGGAGGCGGGGATGGTGCTGCCATGCGACCTGGTGCTGCTGGCAGGCCAGTGTGTGCTCAACGAGTCCATGCTCACCGGCGAATCCGCTCCCGTGCTCAAGACAGCTCTGCCCCTCGACTTCTCTGCGCAAGCGCAGAGGTAGGAAGGGAACAAGGGGCATGGAGGGCTTCACAATGGAAAGTGGAGGGGGAGGAGGGACGGGGGGAGGTAGGGGAGGGGAGGGAGGGGAGGGGAGGGAGAGGGGGGAAGGGGTACAGTTCCGTTTGCGTTTGATGCAAAGTCTCCCGTGTGCTCTTCTCCTGCGATGCACTTGCTGTCTGCTTCTCTGCCTGCCTGCCATCCTTGCCTCCCTGGCTGCCTGTCTGCCTGCTCGTCTGCCTGTTGCTCCGCCCATTCCCCCTGCAGCCTCCGGCCAGGGTCAGAGGCGGACTCCAAGTACCGTCTGCTCTCAGGCACAGAGGGCACCTCCCGTTTCCCCATTTCTGAGTCAACGCACAAGTCTGCATTTCTGCCTGTCCGCCATCGCCCCATCCCCCCTGCAGCCTACGGCCAGGGTCAGAGGCGGATTCCAAGTATCGTCTGCTCTCAGGCACAGAGGTGCTGCAGACCAGGGCGCTCAGGGTACCGCCCACCCCCCCGCCCACCTGGCCTTCCTCGTCTTCTAGCGGGGAGGCCCCTCCTTGTGTGTGGAACTTCGCCAATGCGAGCCAAGGACAGGTGGGTTCTTACACCTTGTTGGACATTCTCCTTGTGTTGTTTCCTTGTGTTTACCGCCATGCCTACCTCCCCTCCCAGACCACCGATTTCCATTCCCAGGTTTCCAAGCTTCCTCTGCTATGATCGCTCACACCCTTTCAACCCCTCACGCTCCCATCCTTGTTGCTGTTTTCCCAGTTTCTATCAACTAAAGCCTGTGAACGTTTGCACGCCCTCCTACCACTCTCCGGCTGCCCTTATCCCCCCCAGCCCATGCCTGTGACAGGCTGACAGCTATGGTGGTGGGCACAGGGTATGCAACTACCAAGGGCGAGCTCGTCCGCGCCATCATCTAGACCCTTGTTATTCTTTGCACCCCCCTCCCCTTTGCCCCTCTCTGGTTGCCCTTCTCCTCCCCAGCCCATGCCTGTGACAGCCATGGTGGTGGGCACTGGGTACGCAACTGCCAAGGGCGAGCTGGTTCGCGCCATCATCTAGACCCTTGTTATTCTTTGCACCCCCCCCCTTTGCCCCTCTCTGGTTGCCCTTCTCCTCCCCAGCCCATGCCTGTGACAGCCATGGTGGTGGGCACGGGGTACGCAACTGCCAAGGGCGAGCTGGTTCGCGCCATCATCTACCCGAAGCCCACGTCGTTTGACTTTGAGCGCAAGCTGTACCTGTTCATAGTGAACCTCTTCGTCTTCTTCCTCATTGCTGCCACCATCACCGTTATCTACCAGTACAACAAGGTGCGTGCGCTGAGCAGAGAGTGAGTGAGCAAGTGAGTGAGTGAGTGAGTGAGTGTGTATGTGAGTGAGTGAGTGGGTGAGTGAGTGAGTTTGTGTGTGCATGCAGGGTTATGTATCCTGTAACTAGGCTTTGTGTGGGATGCGTTCTGCATACATACTACGGCTGTGCAGCAATGTGTGAGTGTATTGCACGGCTCCATCCCATACCCATTCAATATCACCTCCGAACACCTCCTGCGTCACTCCCCAATCCCAATTCCTCCGTACATCCCACTCCCCACGCCCGCCTTCCCTTACCACCCATCCGTCTACGCGTCCCGTTGTTTATCCTCGCAGGTGAGCACCAGGCAGCTGGTGCTGAGCGTTCTCAACATCCTCACTATCACTGTGCCGCCCGCCCTGCCTCTCGCGCTCTCCATCGGTCTCACCACCGCCTTCTCTCGCCTTCAAGCATGCGGCATCTTCTGCATCAAGTACGCACCACCGCCCTTGCTTTTATTCTTCTTTTGTCTACTTCTGACTCTGTGTCCGTGCTTACCCCTGCTTGCTTGCATCATTCGCCTGTTGAGCACTCCTTTCTGCTTCTTTCCTTTTCCTGTCTCACCCAATCCCAATCGCCTCTATTCTTGCCCATCCCTGCCCCATGCAGCCCGCCTCGCATCATCAACGCAGGTCGCGTCAACCTCCTCTGCTTCGACAAGACAGGCACTCTCACTCGTGACGGCCTCACTATCTCTGGGGCCATACCCGTCTCCTCCTCCTCCCCTTCCGCCTCCTTCCCATCCTTCTCCTCCCTCCACTCCAACCTCCTGGAGCTTTACCACGAGGCTGTGAAGCCCACAGCAGCATCACCCCAACCTGCCTCAACCGCATCCAGTCCAACTGCATCCCTCTGTTACACCCTAGCTGCCTGCCACAGCCTGTCGCTGCTCCACGGTCCTGCCCCCTCCCGCTCAGATCCCTCCTCGTCTGCTTCTGATGCGTTTCCCGAGATGGAAGTGCATGCAGAGCGGACGGGTGGGGATGGCTTCTGGAGTAGGCTGATGCGTGGAGAGTTGGGGTACGAGGGGGTGAAACGGGGAAGCAGGAGCAGCAGCGGCAGTGTGGGTGACGGGGGCACGCATGGGGCGAGTTTGCATGCAGGGCCGAGGAGTGATGAGGGGGAGCAGTGGGGTGGTGGGGTGGGAGCGGCTGAGGTGGAGGAGGGGGAGGCTGGGGAGAGTGAGGAGAGTGCTGTTGTGCACATGAAGGACGGCTCGGTTTGTCTGTTTGTGGGCGACCCACTCGAAATACAGATGTTCAGGCGCAGTGGTGAGGGTTAGGAAGGGTGGAGGGGGAGTAGGAGGGTATTGTAGGGTGGATGGAGTGTGTTCTGGTTAGGGTTCAGGGATGATAGGGTTTAGGGCACATTTGGTTGCACTAGGTTTCTGCTTGGTTTGGGCTTATTGTGTTTGGATTTACTTGCTCCTGCATTCTAGGACACCGAACCCAGCAATATCTCTGTCCCACCTATCTCTCCTTCCCTCTTTCCCTTTTTCCCTCACCCTCGTCCCTTGCAATTCCTAGGCTGGCAATTCCTCCCTCGCCCTGAGTCTGACCACCACGACACCACCAACCCCAGCAGCAGCGCCCCACCGCCCACGAACGCCTGGGACATCAACACCATCTGGTCCCACCCGGACCTCCCCCACTCCGTCGACCTCCTCCTCCTCCCTCCCTCCCCCCCTGACCCCTCCGCTCCCCATGCCTCGCACCATCTTCACCCCCCCGTGGCCTCTGCCTCGTCCTTTGTGTTCTCCTCCCAGCCGGCGCTGGCTGTGCTGCGGCGCTTTGACTTTGACTCGGACCTCAGGCGCATGGCTGTGGCCGTGCTGCATGTGCACCCTGGTGTTGTGAGGAGTGCGGGTGGTGATGGTGCTGGTGGCGGTGCTGCTGCTGCGCCCATGTCTCTGCTTGTGAAGGGCGCTCCTGAAAGGTGCAGTGGTGCTGGATTGGATTGGATACGATGTGTGACGTGTCCATGCGGGTATGGATGGGAGGGCGGGAGTGGTGGGAGTGGGTGGTGTGAAGCTCTGTCTGCTGTGTGTGCCATGTGCTTGTTTCTCTATGTGATGCTGTGGTGTGCTGATGTGCTTATGTCTGTCCCCCACGTTCCCTCGCCGTCCCCCGACCCCAACCCCCACAACCCCTACTATCCTTCCAACCAACCAACGTCCTGTGTGACTGTCCTTATTGCTGGATGCCCATTTTTTTAGTAGACTCATACCTCTTTCCTGTGAATGCGCATGGTGTGTGGTGTGGCAGCATTCGCCCCTTATGCACGCCTGCATCGCTCCCGCGTGACTTCGAGGCGCAGCTCAAGGAGCTCACGCTCGGTGGAAGCAGAGTGCTGGCTGTGGCCTCGCGATCGCTCTCCCACCTCACTCTGCAGCAGGTGAGAAAGAGCACAGAATCCTTTCTTTCTTCTGTTCTAAAGCTGTGTCATCGGATATCACTCCCTCTTTAAACATCTCCCCTCCCTTCCCCTTCTTCCCTTCTCCTTCCGCGTCTTGCTCCTGTTCCCCTTCTTCCCCACCTTCCTCTCCACCCTCCCTTTCCCCTTTCCCCTTGCCCATGCAGGTGGCAGAGATGAGCCGGGCAGACATGGAGAGGGAGCTGGTGTTCTGCGGGTTCCTGGTACTAGAGAACCCCATCAAGCCCAATGCTCCCTGGCCTTCTCTCCTCCCCATACAGGTGGCGGAAGCAAGCCGGGCAGACATGGAGAGGGAGCTGGTGTTCTGCGGGTTCCTGGTACTAGAGAACCCCATCAAGCCCGAAACCACGCCTGTGCTGCACTGCCTGGCTGCTGCTGGCCTCAGATGCCTCATGGTCACTGGAGATAACCCCCTCACTGCCCTCGCTGTCAGCCGGTAACGACTCTCACGCCCACTCTCGCTCTCGTTCTTGCTCGCACTCGCACTCTCACTCGCATTCTCACTCTCAAACTAGCTCTTCCCTCACTTGCACTCTCTCTACTGTCTCTATACTCCTCCAAGCTCCCACTCTTCTTTCTCTCCCCTTCCACTTGCCACTGCACCCGGTGTGGTCCTTACCATGCCTCCCCCACAATGCACACCAACACCACCCCTGGCTTATCAACACTATCGCAAACTCAGCTGGACAATCCACCAAACTCCTGATCTCTGCTGTCTCTCTACCACTTTCTCTCCTCCCGGCAGCCACTGTGGACCGTACCTCCTACACACCACACGCCACCCCTATCTCATCGACACAGCCGACGACACCCATCCAGGGGGCACGGGCTGTGTGATACAAGACGTGGTGACACACCGCAGTGTGCCTCTGGACGATGTGCTTATAGCGGGGCCCTCTGGTGCCGCCTCTGTGCTGCAAAAGGGCTCTTCAGGCGGTGCTATGGCTGCTCCTCAGGTGAGGGTCACGCCAGTGCTGTTTGTTTCAGTGTGACCTTGGCGCGTTAGTGTTGCGTCAAGCTGCATTGATTGCCCTCCATGCCATGTTACCACGTCCCAATCAATATCACCACATTACCATGAAAGCGCGTAGATTGTATTGTGCTGCTGCGATCCTGCACAGCTATACCCCAAAAACTCTTCACCACCTTCTTCCCACCCTTTTCCAGCTGGACGCATCACTCAGAGGAGCGGACCTTGTGGTGACAGGCCGAGCATTCACAGCACTTAAAGCCCACCACGAACTAATGACCTTGCTCCACACGCCCCACCGCCGATCCTCCTCCCCTTTCTCCTCCTCCCCGTCCCCCTCCTCCTCCTCGTCCGCCCTTGTGCTCGCCCCTGCCTCGGCTGCAATCACGCCCTTTGAAGCGGTGCTGTCCCGGGCGGGGGTGTTTGCACGCATGTCCCCCAGCAACAAGCAGGACCTCATGCTTGCCCTCCGTGATCTGGGTTACTCCGTTGCCATGTGAGTAACCGTTACTTACAGTGATGCGAACATGCTTGGCCCTGCCAGGCCTTCTCAACGTGCACCTTTTTGGGTTCGTCCAGAAGCATGGTCTTCAACGCCTCGTCATTACCCTCTCCATCAACCTTCTCTTTGTCCCCTCCTTTCTCCAATTTTCCTCTCCACTTCCCCTCTCCACTTCCCCTCTCCACTTCCCCTCTCCACTTCCCCTCTCCACTTCCCCTCTCCACTTCCCCTCTCCACTTCCCCTCTCCACTTCCCCTCTCCACTTCCCCTCTCCACTTCCCCTCTCCATTTCCCCTCTCCTCCCACCTCAGGACTGGTGACGGTGCCAATGACAGTGCAGCGCTCAAGGCAGCAGACGTGGGCCTCAGCATCGCCTCCAAGCGCCACTCCACCCTAGCAGACCTCCCCTCCTCTTGCTCCGTCAACAGCGCATCAGGAGCATCATCATCAGCATCAGTGCCACTGGGTCGCAGGTCGTCAGTGGCCGTGGCACGGTCGGCAGCAGCGGCAGCGGACGCAGCAGCAGCAGCTCCCAGCATTGCTGCGCCGTTCTCCACTCATGTGGCCCATATTGGAGCACTTGTTCCGGTGCGTTTGTGGCTGCTCGTTTGTTCCTGCCTTGCTGCTGCACCATACCCAGCGACCTCTTTCAATCTTTCCTGCCCATCCTCTCTGTGTCAGCCCCCCCACATCCCCACGTTCTGTTGCTGTGTCTCTCTCTCTCTTCCTCTCTCCTCCCATGTCTTCTCAACATCCACCTCTTCCTTTCCCCCTGAATCCCCCCAAATCCCCCGCCCTTCCTCCTCCTCCTCCTTCTCTTCTCCCACCAGCTGCTGCGGGACGGGCGGTGTGCGCTGGTGACAGCAACGAGCATGTTCAAGTACATGATGTTCTATGCCATGGTGCAGACCATGTCCATTGCCGTGCTCTACCCGCTTGCTCTCGAGCTCACTGACATGCAGTACCTCTGGGCAGGTACGGCCCTCTCTCTCTCTTGACCTTTGAGCCGAGTCGAAATATTTACAATGAATGTGGCCCCTTCATGTGTACTGTCCTCTGCCACTCCCCTCTCCTCCAGACCACACATGACCTACTCCTTATGGATCTACCCACACTCATTCCCTCCTCCCTCTCTCCGCTCCCCTCTCCTCCCCTCCCCTCCCCTCCCCTCGCCTCCCCTCCCCTCCCCTCCCTTCCCATTCCTCCCCTCCTCTCACACTTCCAGACCTAGGCCTGGTGTTCCCCATGATCCTGCTCATCCCCACGCTCCTGCCGCGCAAGTCTCTCTCCCGTGGCCTGCCAGAGACCAACCTCTTCTCGCTCTCCATGCTCGTGGGCATCTACGGCCAGTCCGCCCTCATTGTCGCCACGCAGCTGCTCGCCTATGCCTTCCTGCAGAGACAGGTGTGGGCTGGAAGCTGGAACAGGGGCGAGGAGGTGGTGAGAGTGGTGTGAGTGGGTATGAAGAAAATAGAGTGCTCTGGACGGAATGATGGCTGTGCGTGTGTGGGGAATGTGGATGTAGTGAGAGGGTTGAAGCTGAAGAAAGCTGGTAGGTGATTTCCGAATTTGGCAGACCTTGACTGCTTCGTCCTCCTCCCTTTGCTTCCTGCGTCCTTCTGCCTTTCATCCAACCTCCATTCCTCTACTGTCTACCTGCTTGCTATAGCCTCACCTGGAAGTCTCCTTTCTCGTCCCCTCTCCACCCTCCATCCCCCTCTCCGCCCTCCATCCCCCTCTCCACCCTCCACCCACCTTTCCACCCATCACCTGTACTGCATGTGAGCCACCAGCCATGGTATGTGGAGCCAATCATTGGCACTCCAGGGTTCAACCGCAAAGTCAACATCAACACCACTGCCAGCTTCCTCTTTGCCTCTTTCCAGGTAAGCCACTCTTGCCATTTCTGCAGCCATGTGTGTGTGGGTGAGGAGGGGGGAAGGACGGCGGGTGTGGGGTAGGGAGGGGGGAGTGTGGGCATGAGTATCTGTTTGTGTGCTTTTGCAAAAAGTTGTTTGCTTTGTTTTGCCTTTCCCCTATTTGACAGCATTCCTATTCAAAATAACACCCTCTTCTGTGTCCCTCTCCTTGCATCCCTACTCCATAATCCCCCCCTCTCCCCCCCCTCCCCCCTGCAGTATCTCTTCCTGGCTGCTGCTGTCAGTCAGAGCTTTGGCCGCTTCAGAGCACACCTGTTCCAGAGCCCTCTCCTTATCGCCGTGCTCCTGCTGCAGTTCCTCTGCTGCACCCTCCTCCTGCTCTACCCATCCGCCGCCGTTCGCGATGCCTTTGGCCTTGTCGACCTGAGCGGTAAGCCTCTGTTCCTGCTCAGCTCGTGACAGTCTTTACACCCAGTTTGTAACAAATCCGCCAAGGATGACAGTCCTGTGTTGAGCCTGCGTGGCCAGTGTCATACTTCCTGGATGGGCTTGTACCTGTTGCCATTGTACTTGTTGCCACTTGCCAAAATGTCTCATGATATGTTTTTCCTTGTCTTTTTTTGCTGTTCCCACTATCTCCGTACCAGCCTATCCGGACTTCACCATTTCCATCTGGACCTTTGCTGTCATCACCGGTGTAGCCTTCATTCTCTTTGAGCGCTTTGCTGTGCGCCACCAGTCCGCCGAGCCTGACACTGCCGACGCTGACGACCTGCTTCGGCAGGCAGCAGAATGGCAGGCCAAGGATGCTGCAGCGGGATCAGCCCCGTCACATGGCTCTGCACATGTGTGGATCGGTCATGGGGACAAGGACGAGGGGGGGTCGCAGGGTTGGTATCAGGGAGTGGTGTCCGTGTGGCGGAACATTGGAGGCAGCTGCTATCCTGGTCCGTCAACCAAAGACATCAGATTCCTGGCTGCTCAAAAGGAGGCTGGAGCCCTGTGGGATCGACTATGATTCATAATTTCAGCAGCAAGGCATCGCCAACCGTCTCACAGCCATAATATTTTTCGGCCTTAACAATGCCCAGTGTTTATAGTCCAGTCCACTAACGGCACACAGTGCATGTCTAACGGTGCTTCTTTGATGGGATAACTTTCATTACTAGGTTTGTAATAAATAAGAGGAACGTTGCTTCGTTAAACTTCTAATGGATGTCTTGTTAGAGGGAGGATGATGTAAATAGCCCAGACAGCTCTATATTCAAATAAATAGACATTTCTACATTGATACGTGGTGACTGTACAAACCTATAGATCCGGTAGATATCTTATCAGAAAATATCTTATCGGAGGACTCCACGCCATGTCGGCTTTCGAACATGCCCATGTCAGTTCGTCTGATCCGAAGCCATCCGAACCAGTGATGGCACACCTTTGCTTTGGTTTCCACGCTGGCATGCCTCCACCTCAGCTTGCAGATTCCTCTCCTTGTCCGCCTTTCTTGCAACAGTGGCACCCTGTGGGCGGAAAAGTCGATTTCATGACGCGAAAGGGGTTACCATCAGATCAGACAGCTGCTTGCGAGAGAATTCCTGGTGCCTGCAACAGGAAGCCAAGGATATTTGTGCTCACTCCCCATTTTTGAAAGCATTCCTCAACCGGAACCTCCTTGTGTTAGATTCGTGAACCCTTCGCAAGCTCCTTGCATCCTCTGAGTCGCATCATGGCTGCAGTTGCACTCTCATCGACTCCGATCGTCCGTAATGGGCTGCAGACGTCGGGCCTTCGCAGTGCGAAGCAGAGCTCGTTTCTTGGATCTGTTCCTGCGCTCCGTGCTGGTGTTGAGCGGCCCGTGCTGAAGCATCATGCGCCTACGGTGCGGATGATTGCTGCTCCTGAAAGGCCCACACTCACGAGCCTCGACAGCGATATTGATGTCCCTCCCATGCCATCATTCGAGGAGTGCTTCCCCTCGAGCACGAAGGAACACAGGTTGGTTGTTTGCTTAATCTGCTGTTCGGTCTCCGAGTCATTAAGAAACCCTTTTCGCCCTGAACGTCGTTCACCAAGGAACCCCGTGTTTTTTTTTTTTCTATTATCTTGTGTTTCAGGGAAGTTGTGCACGAGGAGACGGGGACTGTCCTGCGCGTCCCGTTTCGGAGGGTTCATCTGTCAGGGGAGGAGCCTCCTTTCGACGTGTACGACACCAGCGGTCCCCAGAACATCGACTGCAATGAAGGCGAGTTTTTCAGTGTCTGATTTTGTAGAGTGTGCTAGACTTGCAAAGAAATGCAAGCCGAGGGATGCTTTTCTCTTTCATATCTCCTGAACTGTTCTTCGATATTTTCTCAGGTCTGCCGAAGCTGAGGGAGTCCTGGGTCGCAAGGAGGGAAAAGCGGGGGGACCAGTGCTTTACACAGATGCACTACGCTAAGAAGGGCATAATCACAGAAGAGATGCTCTACTGTGCGACAAGGGAGAAGATGGATCCTGAGTTCGTCCGATCCGAGGTTGCTCGTGGACGGGCAATCATCCCTGCCAACAAGCGTCACCCCGAGCTTGAACCTACGATTGTGGGCCGGAACTTCCTCGTGAAGGTATGAAGCCAGTCACGCCGATGTTTCCTAAAGTGGTGCACCTGTTTTTGCAGCATAATAGAAACACCTTCGCTTCTATGTGCAGATCAACGCCAACATTGGGAATTCCGCTGTCGCTTCTTCTATTGAGGAGGAAGTCCAGAAGCTGAAGTGGTCGACTATGTGGGGTGCGGACACAGTAATGGACCTGTCAACTGGCGATAACATTCACGAGACTCGCGAGTGGATTCTTCGTAATTCCGCCGTTCCTCTTGGGACTGTTCCAATCTACCAGGTATGTGGCTATGACTGTTTGAAGTAGTTGTTTATTGTTCTTACATCAAAGAACTGTTTATGACTGATACGCGCATCCTTTTTCAGGCTTTGGAGAAGGTGAATGGCATTGCTGAGGACCTCACCTGGGAGATTTTCCGTGAGACGCTCATCGAGCAGGTAATTGCCATAACGTTTTTAAGACAGCGAGATTTCCTTTGTAAGGATTTAGCGTAATTTGATTAATTTTGGCTATTCAGGCCGAGCAAGGAGTTGATTACTTCACCATCCACGCTGGAGTCCTGTTGAGGTTCATTCCGCTGACGGCCGAGCGGCTCACTGGCATCGTTTCTCGCGGTGGCTCTATCCATGCCAAGTGGTGCCTCACATACCACAAGGAGAATTTCGCCTATGAGCACTGGGACGAGATTCTGGACATTTGCCGTGAATATGACATTTCTATTTCGATTGGTGACGGTCTCAGGCCCGGTTGCATCCGCGATGCCAATGACATGGCTCAGTTCTCTGAGCTGGCAATCCAAGGCGAGCTGACCCGACGTGCCTGGGAGAAGGATGTTCAGGTGCGTTGCTATGTGAACCCCATTTTTGCACTCGATTACCTTCTGAAAGCGAATGATGGTTGGCTGGCTTCGAGAGAGTGAATGAGATCATGGGTCGTTCTCGTCCTGCAGATCATGAACGAGGGCCCGGGGCACGTTCCCCTTCACAAGATTCCTGAGAACATGAGGAAGCAGCTTGACTGGTGCAACGAGGCCCCCTTCTACACGCTTGGCCCTCTCACTACTGACATCGCCCCTGGTTACGATCACATCACTTCTGCAATTGGTGCTGCCACCATTGGCGCCCTTGGTACTGCTCTTCTCTGCTACGTCACTCCCAAGGTAAGCTTGACTCACGTTGCAGAGATGTTGCAGGACAACCCTTCAGATATTTATATCTGGCTTCGCGTCTTATACTGTGGTGTAATCCTCGTCACTCTCCAGGAGCACCTTGGGCTGCCAAACCGTGAGGATGTGAAGGATGGAGTCATTGCTTACAAGATCGCCGCGCACGCTGCAGACTTGGCAAAACAGCACCCTTATGCGCAGGAGTGGGACGACGCTCTTAGCAAGGCCCGTTTCGAGTTCCGCTGGCGTGATCAGTTTAACCTGTCACTCGACCCAACAACAGCTCAGGTACTGCTATTTGCTGGCGTGGTGATCAAACTGTTGGTTTCTTGTATTTTACTGACATTTCATCGTTTGTTGTAGGCCCTCCATGATGAGACCCTGCCAGCTGATGGTGCTAAGCTTGCCCATTTCTGCTCCATGTGTGGGCCCAAGTTCTGCTCTATGCGCATCACTGAGGATGTTCGCAAGTATGCCGCCAAGCACGGCTACGGGGAGAACGTTGATGCTGCTGTCCAGGTCAGATGAAGTTTCTGATTGTGAGTTAGATGGTAACATGTACAGGATCCTGATTCATGGTTTGTGGTGGTGGCTTGTGTTTCAGAAAGGAATGGAGGAAATGAGCGCTGAGTTCCTTTTGGCTAGGAAGGTCATCAGTGGGGAGCAGGACAAGGGTGGAGAGATTTACCTGCCAGAGGCTTACATCAAGTCATCTGGCTCTGGTGCCAACCTCAATTGAAGCTGACTCTTGCAGTAAGAGGCGTTTGCAGCTGATTCTGCTCTGGCAGTTGACCGTTTTCTGACAGTTTTTGGTATTGCTGTGCAGGTTGAAGATGGATGGGATGCTCCCTCCGTTGAAGCTGGTGACTGGTGCCAGTGCTGGCACGTGGATCACCTTTCTGGGTTATGTTCCTGTATCATCTTTCCTCTTTTTCCCTTTTTTGTTCGTGAACTGATACGACTGGCACCGGGGGTGCCCACTCTCCGACACAGCATCAGCTGGCAACAGCAGCATTGCTATCCCTTATGGATGCATGTGCCATGCCATAAAACGCTGTGTCTGGTTGAGTGGGCTGAGAAAAAACCCTTCGCACCTGAACAGGGTAATGCCTGCGAAGGGAGCGTGCCACGTTTCTTGTGTGTCTCTCTCTTGTGGTTCTTGCAGGGAGATCTCCCATCAATGTTACTTGGCTCCTTTTTAAGTAATGAAAACTGTTTCGACCATGAGAATGAGCCTAAACGCATGTGATGATTGATCCTTGTGTCTGTAAGGTGTGGATTGTTTAGATCCTTACCTCATGGTACATGTAAGAAACCGTGTTAGTGTTTCGTGAATTCTGAACAATAACTCTGCTGATTATTGGTGAATTTTTGCTCGGGGTGAACGAGAAATGCTTTTCCGCGCGAAAGCACTTTGAAACTGAGTAACAGCCACGAACACTTCCCACGCTGACACTGCTAGCAACCAGGTTCTTCCAGAAGGTTGCTTGTCCAACATTTCCACTCCTCCCACCCGAATTCGTCCAATCAGAAAGCCTCATTCTGTCCAGCTCCAAACCCATTACAAACACGTCACCGCCCTCATCCTCTAGTCTCCTGGCGCTCATCTCCAGCTGTCACTTTTCATCAGGTCGATATTTTCACATCCACCTCGCTTGCAAATATTTCTCAATTTGCTTCCACTTTCATGTCTTCTTGAATTTCCCCAAATTCCGAGTTTTTCCGGTTTGGCCTATCAACCCGCCAGCACCAGCACTCGTCGCCGTGGCCCCCTACCATCCCTACTTAACGCTCCGATTAATCTGCTACCGTGCTTGGAACCTCGTGCTGCAGCATTTTCTGGGTCATTCGTATTCACGACGTGTGGACCCTCCGACCACTCACCCCCATCAACCCCTTTGATACTCTCATTTTTCATACCGCCGTCCAGCTTCTTGCCTGACTAGCAACCTGCTCGGAAGTAGCGAGCTGCTTCGATCGCCTCAGTCCCTTAGCCAGATCATTGGGCCAGGTGAGCTTCGATCAGCTCATTTCTTGAAACTGGATTTTTTGTTTAAATAGCCCTTTTGCATTCTTTGAGGTGATTCGCTTCGTTGATTGCAGTTGAAAATTAGTTATTGGCTAAATCCGAACCTGCAATCTCGCTAATTCTTTCCCCCATACCAACTCTCGCCTGTTCACCTGGATCAGCAGTACCGCCACTCACGACCCTCTTGAAGCACAAGTGGCCGATTTACAGACGCTTTAACCACGCCATCACGCCATCACACCATGGATAAGTACACTCGCGTGGAGAAGCCGCGCACAGAGGCTCCGATCAGCGAGAATGAGATCCGAATCACCGTCGCGGGGAAGGTCCGCAACTACGTCACTTACGCCGCCACTCTCCTCCAGGTCGGTGACGGTCGGTGACGGTCGGTGGCAGTGGGTGTTGGGGGATGATGTTTGTTGGCTCTATTGCACCTGGTTGTCTGGCAGTTTAAAAATTGACGTTTTATGGTCTCCGTATTAGTCTCAACTAGCTTAGTATCAACAATCTTAACTTGAAATCTATGTGGACGAATTGGGTAACGCTATTTTGTGTGCTTGCCACTTTCGAGACACCAGATGCTGCCTGACCTGTTACCAAAGATTCCACTTTTTCGCCCGTGTCGACACGCCTCGCCCTGCCCCGTTTGCCGATCCTTTTTTTCGTATGTTGTTTCCCTCTCCTGCTGTCCTCCTGAATTCACCCAAAAGCGCGCCCCCCTACTCCCCCCCCCCCCCCCCTCCCCCCAAGAAAACCTGTTGTCCTTCCCCTCATTTTCGGCCTCTCGCGGCTCCCCCCTCCCCCCTTCTTCCCCTTCTTCTCCCCACATTTTTTCCTTCTTCCCCCGTTCTTCCTCCCAATTTCCCCCCTTCTTCCCCACATCGTTCCCACCGCGTCCCTCCGCTTGCGCCAATGTGAATGCGCGCAGGAGCGCGGGCAGAAGGAGGTGGTGGTGAAGGCGATGGGGCGCGCAATCAGCAAGGCCGTGCTCGTGGCGGAATCCGCGCGGGTAAGGGGGGAAATTGGGGGAAGCGTGAGGGGAGCGGGGAATGAGAGTGGCGGGCATGTGGGAATGCCGGGAGGGGAAGAGGGAATGGTTGGTACGGGAAATGAGAGGGAAGAGGGGAAGGGGAAGGGGGAGGGGGAGGGGGAGGGGGAGGACGAAGGGGAAGAGGCGGAATTCAGCTATTGTTGATTATGCGCTGTGAAATGCCGAAGCAGTTGATTAGGGGGAGCGTGATATAATCAAATATGTGCTGCTGCATTTGTTCCGCCTCCGTTGTACTAATCCTTGGATTCAACACGGCATCACACTGCCATGTGTGTGACTGCATGAATTACCCGGCATGACGTGGCATGGCATGACATGGCATTAAATTGAGATGGCATTAAATTGCGCCTGCACGGCATGGCTTGGTGATGCACGATGCATGATGAATGAAGCATGATGCATGTGTGCATGTGTTCATGTGTGCATGTGCGAATGCATGCCCGTGTGCATGTGTGTGTGCAAGCAGCGTCGCATCCCAGGGCTGCATCAGAACACCGTGATAGGCTCCACGGACATCACGGACCTCTGGGAGCCTCTCGAGGAAGGCCTCTTGCCGTCAGTCCTGCCCCTGCCCCTGCCCCTGCCCCTGCCCCTGCCCCTGCCCCTGCCCCTGCCCCTGCTGCTGCTGCTCCACGCTCCCACTTCTCCCTCAGCCCATTGCTCTACCTTTAATCCCCTCAGCTCCAACCCCCGCATTCCTCCTCTGTATCACGAGCCCCGTCTCTTGCAGCAGTTACACCCCGCTACAACCTTACCGTTTTTCGTGTCACTTTTATTGCACCATCTGGCAGTTGGGTGCGTCAGGAATCGATTCAAACGTTACCCCATCACTATCGCACCCACCGCTGTCAACCCAACAGCTTTTTATATTTTATTTTTTTCCCTGAATGTGGCGGCAGGTTGGAGACCACGCGCCACGTGTCCATGATCAGCATTACGCTTTCCACCGAGCCGCTTGACACCAGCGCTCCAGGGTATGCGCCACTTTCCTTCTTCCACTCCCTGTTTCCGCTTGCGGCCTCACCCTTTCCTTTCCATTAGCCAATCACCTCTCTCACGCACTTGGTCGTTGAGCCCCCTTCTCCCCCCCCCCCTGGCCCTTCCCCTTCCCCCTCTCTCCCTCTCCTCCACACCCCTGAGGCCGCACCTTTTCTTCTTTCCCCAGTCGTCACCCACCCTCGCTCCCTCCCTGTCTCGTTTCTTTGCATCTCCTCCCTGCTTCTTTCGCGCCTGTTCCTTCACACGACATTTCTCCCGTTCAACATCTCGCCTTCGTGTCTTGTTCCTCTCTTTGCTTACCTCCTGTACAAATCTCGTTAACCCCTATCATTCTCCTTCTCCTTCTCCCCGGTTTCCCCACCCCACCGCCCCCTCCCTTCCTCCCCCCCGCCCTCCTCTACCATTTCTTCCCACTCTTGTTCAACCCTTCAGCTACCAGCCCCCGCTGACAGAGGAGGAAATGACGCGACTCCCAGAAACTTTTGCAGAGGGGGGAGGTGCGCTCTCTCTCCTTATCTCACCCGCTTCCAGCTGCGGGCCATGTGTCGTAGACCATGCATGCACCTCGCACCTCGCACCATGCACCTCACACCATGCACCATGCACCATGCACCATGGACCATGCGTGTCCCCGTTACTCACCACCTCCACCTCCCCTCCTCGGGTCCTTTAAGCCAACCCCTGTTCCACTTCTCTTTCTGCTCGATTAGCAATCCCGCCCATGCATGTCTGAAAAAACTCGAGCGGCATTCACCTCTACATTTACGTGTGCCATGACCGTTTAAGTTCCCGAGTCTCATTACTTAGCACCAGCGTGAGATGAGACGCTTTCTATCTTCAATTTCGTGTCTCGCCTCTTCCTTGTCTTCTCGCTTTTTCCACCAGAGCGGGGTGGGCGACGAGGCAGGGGTCGCGGGCGGGGCGGCAGGGGAAGGGGTCGGGGGAGAGGGGGTGCTATGGGACCAGGGGGGGGTTTCCCTGGCGCGGCAGCAGCAGGGGGGGCTGTGCCTTCGCAGCAGGGCGACGCTGCTCAATATCCTTCGCATGGTATGGTACCTTGCACACTTGCCCCTGCGTTTCCCTTCCTTCATAGCCTTTTGAGCTGTAAGTGAAGGGTGGTACTAAGGCAATACAGTGAATTCACTGCATGGTTCACCTTGAAAATATTTTATTTCTCTTTCTTTCACTTACGCAATCCGTATCTCACCTTGTCTCTCCTCTCTATTTCTTAAAACTTCCTGTCCCTCCCTCTCCATCTCTCTCCTGACTGTCCCCCTCTTCCCAATTCCTGTTCCCCTTTTCCACCCCATCATCGGCAGCACCAGGCACGGCTCCATACAACCCAGAGGGGGGCGATGCAGCAGCAGCAGCAGCAGCAGCAGGGGCAGCAATGGGGGGGGCAGGAGCAGCAGATGCGTCAGGTCAGCCCGGAAGGGGCAGGGGGAGAGGGCGTGGCAGGGGCCGGGGCAGGGGGTATGGCTACAGGGGCCGTGGGGGGAGGGACGGAGCAGGGGGTGCTGCTCCCGGTGCTGGTGGTGAGGGTGGTGGGGAAGGGGGTTCCCTGGCGCATGAGGGACAAGGAGGGGGTTTTGCGGGGGGGGATCAGGAGCAGGGCGGTGCTGGTCAGGATCAGCAGCAGGAACAGGGAGGGGCGGCGGGGGGAAATCAGGGGGGTAGGTCTGGTCGTGGGAGGGGGAGGAGCAGGGGGCGTGGCCGTGGCCGCGGTCGTGGTTACTATGCTGCCACTGGTGGTGACGCTGCTGGTGGTGCTGCCGGTGCTGGTGGTGCTGGTGCTGCTGGTACTGCTGGTGCTGCTGGTGATGCTGGTGCTGCCCCTGATGCTGCTGCAGCAAGCTCTGCCCCAGCCGTGTCTACGGCACCTCCTCTGGCCCCTGATGCCTCTGCCGCTGCTCCAGCTGCTGCTGCTGCGGTCTAATTGATTCATACACGCCTGGTTGTGTTGAATGCTCTGGGTTGTGGGGCGATTTTCAAAGCGTCTGAAGCTTGGGTAAATTAACTCATGGTTGAAGTGATGGTTTTGACTGGGGGCTGAGTCTGCATGGATACAGTGTCGATCGTTGACGGGGGTTGGCTGGTTGGATGGTATCGTAAGGGAAAGACGACAATGCAATATCAAGGTTAATGGGCAAGGGACAAGGGTTGGAACTTGGAAAGCCAAGATGGCTGCACAGCTGCAATTTAGGCCACCTTTGGGAAACTGGACGATGATCAAGGGTAGGTGCCTAATTGGTGATGGCTGTTGCACTACCCAGACACAAATACCGGTAGCTCTTTAGAAACTAGAACCACTTGCTGGATGTCAATTGGTAGGGCCCGATTGTTACACCAAAGAAACAAATGCTTTCCACTCAAAAGAGGTTTCCGGTGGCAGGCAGACGCTAGCTACGTTGTATCGAGTTGAGAGGCCAACCAGATCCCATCTCTACTTCTGGTGAGGGTACCGTAGGAGGCAAACCTAGGAGAATCTTACCTGCTGTGGGCAAGGCTGGATGGTTCATGCACATGTTTTTCTACCGGTATGTGAGTGCTGCTGCAGACTATCAGCAATTGGCCGCTACAAGAAGATGACGATGAAAAGAAAAAACTCCCTCCAGGCAAAGGATTCCCTTGAAAAGGTCGGGCTGAGAGCATGGTATGTCAAGAACTTGCAACCAATACCACTCTCATACACATGAACGGTACCAGTACAGTATGTGTACCTACCACGTATTCTCTGCTCAGCTTTCTAACCTGCTGCAGCTTGCATCGCAGCCCAGCAATGGCTTTGATTTGAACCATCTCTATGAAGACGAGGCTGGGGACGGTGCAACAGCAGGAGTGTCATCGTGGACAGGGGTGGTGGAGAAGCGCTGCTTCCTCATTCTCTCCTTCTCCTGCATCGCCATGTAGTCTGAATGCGACAGCTGCTTCTTGCCTGGACATTGCGAGTGGGTGTGGGAGTGGGAGGCGCACCGGGATTAGTATGGCATGAGATGGCAGGCGCAGGTGAGAGGTGACGGGTGGTAGGTAGGTGGCAGGTGGGTGGCAGTGGGTTCGTTTAACTGGCGCTTGTTGGAAGCGTGTGCGATAGAAATCGGTTGTGGTATAGGCAATAGAGAGGAAAATTGCAAATGTCGGGCGGTATGGAAATGCAAAGAAGGGTATGCGGGGGTGCAGGTGGGGGATATTAGGGAATCAGAGCAGGAAATGAAGGAGACAAGTTTAACTGTTTAGCACGAAGTTGTCTGCATGTAAATGGGGGCATTTACATGCCTGCATATGATTCATTGCACGTGCATGACTGCATATGAATCCTTGCAAATGCATGCATGCATGTGAATGTATGCCATTGCATGCCTTCACATGCCACTGACTCATTGCTTTCTCATACCTGCCGTCATGTAGTACCAGGGAACATAGGATAGCAGGCCTATGGCGAACAGCCCACCAAACACATGCCTGCAACCACCCATGCGCACACATGGGAGCCAGGTGCATGCAGCCGGGAAAAAGGAAGGGGGGCGAGGTGAGAAAGGGAGGGGAAGGGGTGAGGAGCGGTGGCGAGAAGGGACGAGGAGGAGGGGGAGGAGGAATAAGGGCTGTAGCAGGAAACTATGAGAGCATGACAAAGGGTTGCAAGGAAATGTGTGGGGGGAGTGGGTGGGGCAGGAGGGAAGGGAATTCTTTAATGCACACTGCAAGAAAGGAGAGAAAAGTGGACAGATTTTCAGAAGAAAGTGGGAGAGGTGAAAATTGAAGGAACAATACAGAGGGTGGAAGTGAGGGAACTGAACGGACAAGAGAAGGATGAGTCTCGAAGGAAACTAGGTTTGAATTATAGCTATACGATCCTGGGAGGAAGAGAAAAATCAGAGCGGCGGGAAGGAGAGGGGGCATAGAAAACCGTACGATCTCTTTCCGCTGAATATATAGGAGAACACCCGAGAAGGAGCGGCGGTTGCGCCTGACATAGCTGCTGCCTTGGGATCAACGAAGAAAGAGGCGACAGAGAGTTCAGACAGCACTGATTCTCGCTGCTACTGCTTCCGTCGCTGTTGATTCTGCAGCCGTTGCTCCTCCTCCTCGATGCTTCACCCACCGCTACTGCTCTAGCCGCGCTGAAAAACCTTATCTCCGCCGCTGCCACTACCCTGATTCCCTCGCTGAGTCACTTTTGAAATCTCTCAAAAGTCACTGCAGCTGACGCTACTGCTGTCAGACGCGCAGGCTGAAACGGCAGAAGCGGTAACCCCAAAAGCCGGCGTGTACGTAGATCGAGGGAGCACTGGAACAGCAGCACCTTGCGCACCTTGCGCTGCCGCAGAAGTAACGATCGCGAACCTGCTACCCTGGAATATCGCGCCTCCGCGAGGGTGCGGCGGCGAGACAGCGGGGGAAACGAGGATGGTGGTGTGGTTGTCGAATGGAGGAAAGGGAGGATGTGAGCTTCTGGTGGACGAAGTTTACGCAGAAATGTCGGCTATACTTAGGTACGTGAAAGGGGTGCACCGATAACAGTATTGAGTGTACATCGTAAGCCGATTGTTATTATACTATGCGTTGATTCTGGCTTGTAGGAGCAAGACACCACCAGTAATTGTAGTTACGGTAAGAGTGACTTAGAAGTTTGATACCGAAATTTGAAGGAAATAACGCGTAGATTTCTACATTATGGAATACATCCGGGAAAAAAATAACCGGCAGTAGGAGCCTTGGCTAGGATCTGTAAATTGTACCGTACTTCTGCCAAGTCGCTCTGCAGTAAATCACTGCACCCACCCATCACCTACTCCATTACTTCAATATTCCGCCAATCCCTGCAATCCAAAGAAATGCACAGCCAATGGGAGAGTGGGAACCCGAATCGAACCCAAATTAAACACCTGGTACCTTTCAGCCTTTCTGGAGACCACAAACCATTCTACTAGAAACCATATTTACACGTCCTGCTTGAACGAATTTCTTTCGAATTCAGGGGTCTACTTTGCCCTGAGGAACCGCAGTGCTTGCACAACACACCATCACCAAGATTAAACTTTGAGACACATGTCCTGACAACAGCCACAACATGCATACGAAACACACAGAATTACTGAACGGACAGACAAACAAACATACAGACATACAGACATACAGAACAGACAAACAGTCAAACATGCAGACACACACACCTCGACACGTCATCCAGGTGCTCTTCAAAATCGCTTAGTCGCCACTGCCGCCCCTCTTCCAGATAGCTCTGAAGAATGCTGGCCACCGTCGCCGGCCGCACGCGCATCGTTGCTGCGCTCGTGCTTCCCCCTGCTACAGCCGGCTTTTGAAAGCGCCACACACGGGCCGAATCACACGTGTACAGCTGGCAGTGACGAGGACAGGGGGGAAGGGGGAGGGGAGAACCAGGGTACGCGAATGAGGAGGGAGGTTGAGAAAGAGGGAAAGGCAGAGGGGGGGGAGAAGGAAAGAAGTAAGTGGTTGGAGTCATGGGGTGAAGTAATGGGTTTAACGAGTGGGATCCTGTCTGAAAATGCCTCGAATTACATTGCGGCTTCAGTGCGCGCGTGTCAAAGTTACCCACCCCGATCAGCCACTCACTAACTCACAGTACCTTGAACGCGCCGTCGTGAGTGAGCCTCCACTGGTGCTGCGAATTTTTGAGTCGACTAAAAAAGCGGCCACTCACTAACTGACAGTGCCTTGACCGCGTGGTCCCGAGTGAGTCTCCGCTGGTGCTGCAGATTCACAAGGCTCAAGAAACGCCTCACATACCCTGTGGCTTGAGCGCGTCAAAGCTACCCACCCTGAGCGGCCACTAATTAACTGACTGACTGACTAACTGACTGACTGACTGACTGACTGACTGACTGACTGACTGATTGACTGACTGTACCTTGAACGCATGGTGAGCCTCCACTGGTGCTGCAGATTTCGACTCTGCTTCTCCTGCCCCTCCTGCTTGCCCACCCGTGCCTGTTCCCAGCAGCTGCTGCATCACCTTGGGGTCTAGCTGGTAGAGGGGAATGGGAGGCGAGGGGAAGGCCAGAGAGGCAAGGAGAAGGGAAGGGAGGTAGGGAGAGGCAGGGAGGCAGGAAAAGGGCTTTTGAGTCGACCCAAAAGTCAACTTGCTGCACCCGTGCCTGTTCCCAGCAGCTGCTGCATCACCTTCGGGTCTAGCTGGCAGGGGTGATGAGAGACGAGGAGAGACACAGGGAGGCAGGCAGAATGACAGGGCGGGATGGGGAGTGTGAGAAGCAGGGAGAGTGGGTGGGGAAGCTCGTGAAGATTCTTAAAAGGGAAGCGCTACGTTACGGTGAGAGAGGAGGGAAAGGCAGGGAGTGTGGCAAGGGGGTGGGAGGGGAGGGGTGTGGCAAGGGGGACGGGGATAGAGGGAGAGATACAGCACCGAAGTGAACCTCGTATAATCTCCCTTCAGCCCTACTAAACACTGTAACCCACCAACCACGCCATGCTCCCACGCCATCCCCCACTCCCTGCCCATCCCCCACCCCATCCCTCACGCCCTCCCAGTGCACGCACGAGCAGGCAGCAGGCGGGCGTGCAGTGCTTGGCAACGCAGTCCGCCACGCGCCTGGTGCCCGGGGCGAGCTCTGAGTCGACTCACATACTACCTCTTATGCCCGTTCAGCTCTACTCAACCCCGTAACCAGCACCCACGCCATCACCCACGGGATCCTTCACGCCATTACCCATGCCGACTCAGCTCAACTCAACCCCCCATCCCATCCCCCACGCCCTCCCCATGCACGCACGAGCAGGCAGCAGGCGGGCGTGCAGTGCTTGGCAACGCAGTCCGCCACGCGCTTGGTGCCCGCTGCGAGCTCTGGTGCGTCCACGCGCTCATTGGCCGCGTACACGCCCACCACCGCCATGCCGCGTGATGAGGCGTACTCCTCTGCCTGATACGGTTATGGTTGGGTGGATGGGTGAATGGGTGGATGGGTGAATGGGCACAAGGGACATGGGCACATGGGTGGTTGCAGGTGCGTCCACGCGCTCGTTGGCCGCGTATACGCCCACCACCGCCATGCCCCGTGATGCCGCATACTCCTCTGCCTGCGGCGGTTGCACGGTTGAGTGGGAGGGTGGTTTGATGGTTGGATGGATAGGGACATGCAAAATGGGACACATGGGCACGGGGTTGCATACATCCTTTCGAGACGCCTCAAAAGCACGGGGTTGCATACATTCACAGGGGGGTGTGAACCCGCTTGACAACACTCCAGCCACGGAGGCGCATAGGCACGTTGGTACGTGTATGTCCACATGCAAGTGCACATGTGCAGGCGCGCAAGCGCATGCACGCCACGCCAGGGGTGAAACGAGCCAGATCAACATGGAAGGAGGGAGCGAATGAGGGAGCACGATCGGCCATATATGTCCCACTCTCATTACTACTTCCACATCCCATACCTATCCTTCCCCGTCCAGAAAACACCCTCCACCCAGCTTCTGAGGCGTCTCGAATGAGCCTCACCCCCCCCAACCCTCACCTCTCAAAACTCGCCCTGACACCCCACTCCGTAACCCCGATCGCCTCCTCGACCCCACTATTGCTTTCTCAAAGAATCCCTGCACCTTTAACCTGCATAATCGCAGTTACGCTGTACCTGTGCGCGCACCAGCTCCGCTATACCTGCACGCGCACCAGTTCCGCTGTACCTGTGCGCGCACCATTCCCACTGTACCTGCATGAGCGCCAGTTCCAGCATCGGCAGCAGCAGGCAGCCATGAAATAGAGGCACCGCGTCTTCTACCTCTACCTCCGCCTTCCCCGCGCTCCCGCCAGAGCTCTCCGCATCCGCCGCTCCTCCGCTGCCATTCTTTCCGTCCCGCACCTTGCCTATTAAGACGCCGAGAACCGGTGCGTATGGGAACTTGATCGAGTGCAGTGATGCCTTGATGTACGCATGCTGGGATACAGTGTAGCTCATCGGATTTCGCCTTATAACGAGTCCGGATTCGCTATTAAGGGAATAGATCCCACGACCAGATTGGATCAAGACTTTCAAATAAGATCACGACGGTTGCAACCCGACAGAAATGAAACTCGAGACGGCCAACAACGTGGACGGATCGGCTGAAACTCTCAGAATCGGAAGATGGCCGGACTACCACCAGCTGGTGACGTGGCGAGGAAATCGCTACGGCGGTAAATCTCCTCTAATCTCTGCTCGAATCAAATAATCAAACAAGTGACGGTAAAACGGCAGCGGGAAAGCAAGATAGCCCTGGAGAACGGAATCCGGGCGATAACTCGGCTTCACGCAAGCGGAGGAGGAGTCGACGAACACGTAGGTCAGGGTCAAGTATCCCCCGATCGATCGGATCTAAACGTGCGAGCTGAAACACGAACGGAAAATATGAATGTTCGCTTTGCAAGGCCCATGTGCCCAGCCCGTTTCTCTGTGTAGTGTGGTGCGAGATTAGCAGCATTGACGGAGGAGGTTCCAGTTCGATCACGCTGTAACGGGGTTGGATGCGTTTCACTTGGGTAAAACGTATTATAAAAATGTTTCAGTGCGGTGGCGAGTCAACTTCCGCCATTGTTGCAAGCTGTAAGGAAAATTCCTTTTCCTTACTTTGCGTCCCTGCTCAGCGCGTACACCACTGTTCCCACCCACAGCACCCAACAGTAATCCGTTACCACTCGCGACACTCGCTTCGACACCATTCCCGCCACCATTCACGACGCGACCCAACCTCACGGTTCGGTTGGTAACCCGCGCTCCGGACCTCCGCCTCGACACTTTCCCAACCTCGGCACCAGGCCCGTCGCGCACCCCATTTTCCACACATTACCGTTACCACTGTAGTTTCGCTATATATTCTTCGCTCATGCCTTCGCTCATTGTACTTTTTGCTTCGATAGTGCAGTTCTCGTTCGCTCACTCAATTGCACTCGTAACACTTGGTATTCAGAGCCTACGATCTCTTCTCGGACCGCACCCACACCTTCGCTTCCCCACTATCTCAATTTTTGGGGGGGGTAGACGTCTCTCAGCGACACAGCACCGCCGCTTGTAGTGCTCTCTCGTAAGCACGCACGGCCACGACCGAGGCTCTCGCTGAGCTTGCCCAACACCCCCACCATGGCCGAATTCAATATCGCGACCTTGACGCAGGAGCAGCTCGACCGTCTGGTACGCCAAGTTGAAGATTCGGCACTCGAAATTGCGACGCTCACGGCGGAACGTGACTCCGCGCGTCAGCAGTCTTCGGTGAACACTCCAGCAGCACCACACGCACCAACAAATGCACCTGCACAATCGGACGAGCCAATCATCATCTCGTCCGGTACACCAACACAGCACGACAGCGTGGGACAGCGCTCAGGTGCAGCCAGTGATAGCGCCGTCCAACCAATGCCTGGCATGGGAGGAAATAAGGTTGCGCCAAGCCCGCGGGAGCCTCGCGAAGCCCGTCGGCACGTGGAGTTTGCAGCGACAAATGGCGGACAGGCCATTATGGCACCAATGCCACTCAAGCCGCAACGCCCGCCCTGCTTCGACCCGAGCCAGCGTGGAGGTCCGACGATTCAATCGTGGGTCTTCACGATGAACGTCTTCTTCGACGCGAATTACGTCGAGTCGGACGCAGCGAAGATTCGGTATGCCGTTTCGCTGCTAAGGGGCCCCGCCATGGACTGGTGGCGAGTCATCGTGACGTCGCCACGCGCCTACGAGCCACCGTCGCAAGAGGAAGGGCCCACGGGTCCAGCTGTCACCTGGAGTTCTTTTTGCGAGACCGCCCAATACAGCACGTGGGATGCGTGGTGCGCAGGGCTTCGGGCGCGCTTCGAGCCAATCGCGGCTTCTATTTCGGCGCGTCAGAGGTTGCGCACTTGGCGGCAGCTCGGGTCGGTTCAAGATTACACGAGCGGTTTTCTCGCACTTTGCGAGCAAGTCGGCTACATGCACGAAGCGGAGCGGGTGGACCGTTACGTTGGAGGGCTGAAGCCGGATATCTCGCACGAGATCATGCTGCGCGGACTCTCGAACTTCAACGAGATTCTCGCGCTCGCCGAGAAAATCGACATTCTACGCCGACCGAGACCGGGGTCCTACTACGGACATCGTCCTCGGGGACCGACCGAGCACGCCACTGTACACGCCGTTGCGACAAATGCAGCTGCTGCGCCGTTTAAGGGGCGCTGCTTTGCTTGCAACAGGCCGGGGCATCGCAAGAGCGAATGCCCAGAGGAGCTGAGACGCCGCGGAGCAGAGCAGGGGAGGGAGTCTCAGAGGCAGGGAAACGCCAGCAGTCAGTAGAAGTTGGGCCAACTACTGACGAGACTGCCTGCTCGCCCAACCGCACCGACCCTCACCGAGTCACAGTACTGATTCACGCTATCGATCGGGCTCGGATGAATAAGGAGGGTACAGCGACGGATTGCCCAGTACTGATTTACGGGAAAATACAGGGAGCAGCAGTAAAGATCTTTATAGACGGAGGAGCAAGCCACAGCTTAGTTAATACCGCAACCGCACGGAAGCTGCAACTGACACTTAGTCGGTGTTTACCGGAAATAGATGCACGCTTAGTAGACGGAACGCCGCTGGCCATACGGGAGAAGGTGGAGAGAGTAAAGGTCCGCTGCGGGGGGAACTTTGGGTTTACACAGGAAATGCTCGCGACGACATTGGATGGGCACGACATTCTACTGGGACGTGATTGGCTGCGACGGTATAACCCGCGAGTTGACTGGACGACGGGTAGCTGCACTGTGCGAAGTAGCGGTAACTGGGTCGTGCTACCTCGCTGGCAGTCGCCCGAGTCTTCAACGGTCCACGTCAACGCCGTCACGATGAAACGGGCTGTCGCCGCTGGAGCTGACGTGTACGCAGTGGATATAGCATTGATAGGAGAAGCAGAGCAGCCGAGTGATTTTTAGAAACTGCTGGCAGCGGTACCGCCCGAACTGCATGAACTGTTGCAACGATACCCGGGGATTTTTCCGGATGATTTACCGGAGGGACTGCCACCTCAGCGGGCACACGACCATCGCATAGAGTTAGAACCGGGGGCACAGCCAACCGTACAGCGACAGTTCAGACTGACACAACCCGAGCTCGACGAACTGAGGAAGCAGTTAGATTACCTATTCGAGAAAAAATTCATCCGACCGAGCTCGTCACCGTTTGCCGCACCGATACTGTTCACACCGAAAAAAGATGGAGGGTTTCGCATGTGCATCGACTACAGAGCACTGAACCGGGTAACAGTCAAATCGCGATACCCCATTCCCCGCGCCGACGAACTGATAGACCAACTGCGAACAGCACGGGTTTTTTCGAAAATAGATTTACGGGGAGGTTACCACCAGATTAGGGTCGAACCATCGGACTGCGCCAAAACAGCTTTCAGGACTAGATACGGATCATTCGAATACACGGTGATGCCATTCGGACTGACCAACGCACCGGCGACTTTTCAGATGACCATGAACGAGGCGTTTAGGCCACTCTTAGATAAATGCGTGATAATTTACCTCGACGACATCCTGGTTTACAGTCGGGACAAGCAGCAGCACTTAGCAGATCTGGAAGCAGTATTTAAGGTTTTAGACGAGCACAGACTACTGACCAAGGGTTCCAAGTGCGAGTTCTTTCAAGACAGGCTAGAGTTTTTAGGGCACGTTATTTCGGAGGCTGGGGTTGAAATCGACCCGAAGAAGTTGGACACGGTAAAAGCGTGGCATCCCCCGACAAACATCACGGAGCTGCAGAGTTTTTTAGGGTTCGTTAATTATGTGCGTCGGTTCGTCCCCGACATGGCACAATTAACAGCCCCACTGACGGATCTGCTACGAAAGGGGGTCACTTTTACGTGGGGGGAGAAAGAGCATGCTGCCTTCTCTGTCCTGAAAACCGTCCTCTGCTCCCCGCCCGTACTGCGCATCGCTGACCCATACCGCCCTTTCGAAGTTATTACAGACGCAAGCGACATCGCCATTGGAGCCGTACTGCTACAGGATTTCGGCAACGGCCTACAGCCTATCGCATACGAGTCACGAAAGCTGCATCCGCCCGAAAAACACTACCCGATACACGACCGCGAAATGCTCGCGATCGTGCATGCGTTCAAAGTGTGGCGCTGTTACTTGACCGGCGCAGACGTGACAGTACGGA